TAACATGACAATCCAAGCAGGAGGACCAAGAAGGGAGAAAGACATAGATCAGGCTAAGGTTACTCATGCCTTGGGGTGAGGTGACGTCCATAATAACTGGAATGTGTATCATACCATCCAGACACCTCCTAGATCAGATCAAACGGTGACTCTGAAACATCTACAAGGTTCTACGTGTGAGACGAGAGTCACTGTTCACATATCAACAATATCCCCGCCTCTATCACAGAGGTGGTCTGTATGGCCGAGTTGCCAGAATCATCTTACATCTCAGTCCTGCAGTCTTGTGGCAGAATCTTTTACAGTCAGATGAAACGTTTTTTTAACTAAGGCAGAAAGTTGCATCGGGCCCCAGCCCAGCACGTCACCCAGTGTGAGCGCCCCCTGCTGGCAGCAGCGGGGCGGGGCTGCTTCTCACCCGGGACGGGGAAGCTCGTCCCAACCGAGGGGAAAACTCCCATTTCAGCAGGACAGCGAGCGCGAGGAGAGCAACAGTCTTGAATGGCCTTGAGTGTCCCAGCCAAGGACCTGACTTGAACCCAGCAGAAAATCTACAGCAAGGCCTGACGATGGCAGTCAGTCTCAGAGCCCAGCTGACTTGTCCAAACTGGAGCCATTTTGCCAGGCAGAACAGACAAAACTGCACCACATCACTGTGCAAAGCTAATACAGGCCTCTTCAGAAATCCTGACAGCATCAACGTCTGTGCTGCCAGTAAGGTCTGGCTTAGGGGACTGAATATTGACGAAGTCTGTAACTTTGCATCGTTTACGTTATAAGTCTTCTTGACAGGTTTTGCTTATATTTAGGCCTCTTCACATAAACGAGCGACTAACGTGATCATTAAAGTTCTGGATAAATACACGTGCTTTTGAAAAACCCATACAAATACTGTACGCTGTTTATGCTATTGAAATGTAATAGTCTTAACAGGGGGCATGAGTACTTTTACAAGGCACTGCAGGCACTGTATCTGCTGTCCCTTTCGCCACATTTTCACACCTTTTTCAAAATTAACGTTGCAAGGCCACCTGCCGA